GAATCAAAGAGTTGGTTCTTTGAAAGAATAAATAAAATCGATAAGCCCCTAGCCAACCTTATTAAAAAAAGGAAAGAAAAAGCTCAAATTCATGCAATAAGAAATGAAAAAGGAGAAATCACTACAGACCCAATAGAAATACAGAGGATCATCAACACCTATTTCGAAAACCTCTACTCTCAAAAGTTTGATAACACAGAAGAAATAGACAGATTCTTACAAGCATATGAAGTACCAAAGCTAGATCAAGAGGATATAAAACTGTTGAATAACCCAATCTCTGCTAATGAAATTGAGAATGTAATTGGGTCCTTGCCCACCAAGAAGAGCCCAGGCCCAGATGGATTCACTGCAGAATTCTACAAGAAATATAAAGAAGACCTAATGCCGACACTCCTCAAACTATTCAATGAAATTGAAAGGGAAGCAATCCTTCCTAAGTCATTCCTGGAAGCAAATATTACTCTAGTACCAAAACCTGAGAAAGACCCAACTATAAAAGAGAACTATAGACCGATCTCCCTAATGAACACAGATGCAAAAATCCTCAATAAAATATTGGCAAATAGGATCCAGCAAATCATCAAGAAGATTATACACCATGACCAAGTGGGATTCATCCCAGGAATGCAAGGATGGTTCAACATACGCAAATCAATAAATGTAATCCACCATATCAATAAAGCCAAAAATAAGAATCACATGATCATCTCTATAGATGCAGAAAAAGCCTTCGATAAGGTCCAACACTTATTCATGATAAGAACTTTACAGAAAATTGGAATAAATGGTCTTTACCTCAATATAATAAAGGCCATTTATGACAAACCAACAGCCAGCATCATACTAAATGGCCAAAAATTGAAAGCCTTTACTTTAAAATTGGGTACAAGACAAGGATGTCCTTTATCACCACTCCTATTTAATATAGTACTGGAAGTACTAGCCAGAGCAATTAGGCAAGAAAGAGAAATAAAAGGGGTAAAGATAGGAAAAGAAGAAGTTAAATTATCATTGTTTGCAGATGACAGGATACTCTACATAGAAGACCCCCTAAACTCCATTGAAATACTCTTAGATACAATAAATAAATTCAGTAATGTGGCTGGATACAAAATCAATACTCAGAAATCAATAGCATTCCTATACACGAACAACAAAATTACAGAGAGGGAAATAAGAGAAACTGGACTATTCACATTAGCAAGCAAAAAAATGAAATATTTAGGAATTACTCTTACGAAAGAAGTGAAAGACTTATACAGTGAAAATTATAATACACTGAAAAAGGAAATTGAAGATGATCTCAGAAAATGGAAAGACATCCCTTGCTCATGGATAGGAAGAACAAACATTGTGAAAATGGCCATTCTCCCAAAACTGTTATACAGATTCAATGCAATCCCAATAGAAATACCATCAACATACCTTATAGATCTAGAGAAATCACTCCTAAATTTCATCTGGAACCAGAAGAGACCTAGAATCGCAAAGGCAATTCTAAGCAGCAAAGACAAAGCAGGAGGCATCACAATCCCTGACTTGAAGTTATACTACAAAGCAACAGTAGTAAAATCAACATGGTATTGGAATCAAAACAGAGCTGAAGATCAGTGGAATAGATTAGAAGATACAACCACAACTACAAACACACTCAACCACCTTATTTTTGATAAAGGAGCCAAGCAGGTTCACTGGAAGAACGACAGTCTCTTTAATAAATGGTGCTGGAAAAACTGGCTCTCCATTTGCCGAAAACTAAAGCTAGACCCATGTCTATCACCATGTACTAAATTAAAATCTAAATGGGTCAAAGATCTGAATATTAAAACAGAAACACTAAATCTATTGGAAGACAAAATAGGTAGAAACCTTGGAGACATAGGAGTAGGTAAAGAATTCATGAACAGGACTCAAACCGCACGGGAAATACTTCCCAGAATCAATAACTGGGACCACTTCTTATTAAAAAGTTTCTGCATGTCAAAAGAAATCTCCAGCATAGTGAAAAGAAAACCCACAAACTGGGAAAAGATTTTAGTGAACTCTCTCTCAGACAAGGGCCTCTTGTCTAAAACATATAAAGAATTAAAGAAACTCAGACCTCCGAAATTCAAAGATCCAATCCAAAAATGGGCATCTGAGATGAATATGCAATTCTCAGATGAAGAAATGCAAATGGCAAATAAATACATGAAAAAATGCTCATCATCATTGGTCATTAGAGAAATGCAAATTAAAACCACACTGAGATACCATCTCACTCCTGAAAGAATGGCTAGGATCAAGAAAACCGACAACAAATGCTGGAGAGGCTGTGGGGAAAAAGGAACTCTCCTGCACTGCTGGTGGGAGTGTAGACTGGTACAGCCTTTGTGGAGATCTGTCTGGAGATTTCTCAAAAAGTTGGGACTGGAAATCCCATTTATTCCAGCTATTCCACTTCTAGGCATATTCCCAGAAGAACTGAAAGCATCATACCACAGTGATATATGTGCACCTATGTTTATAGCAGCACAATTTGTAATCGCCAGATCTTGGAAACAACCCAAGTGCCCATCAACTGAGGAATGGATAAAAAAGTTGTGGTATTTCTATACAATGGAGTATTATTCAGCTATAAAGAAGGATCACATTGAGATATTTATCAATAAATGGGCGCAGCTTGAGACCATACTCATTAGTGAAATAAATCAATCTCGCATGTGTGAATACCGAATAGTTTCCCTAATGTAAATAATGATTCAAATATATAAAAATATGTGGTAATCATGATTCCCCATTAGGTGGCCTTGAAGCCTTATAAAGTTTTCACTCATTAATTAGAAAGGCTTTATTCTGGGCTTCTTGATATGAAAATATTTGAAGCTAGAGTATATGAAGTTTTATCCAAATATTTCAAGGAAAAAGACACTATGGTAACTACTATTAAGTCAGGTTATAAGGTGGTGAAGTACTAGGTTGTTGAAACAGTCATGCTGTGACCTCTATTGTTATATTGTTATGTCCTGTTTTATCTCAATCTCCCCCTTATTGTTTCAAAAAAATTATTTAGTCATTTCTTATGTTTGTCTTAATTAAAGAAAAAATTCAAAAAAATTAGGATATATAAATAGTAACTCTTTTCGATTTCCTATTAACTTGTTTTGAAGTCCTTTAGTACTCCCACGATCTTGTTTTGACTGATTAGACTCTGTTCCATTCTATATGATAGTATCAAGTTTGAAGACATAGGCAACTACTTTGAAGACAATAAGATTCACTAAGATACCCATTCTGGTTTGACTAGTGTCTTCTTTGGAAGTCCTGTAATGTTTACAATGCCTAAGTTTTATTGGTCTTGTTCTCTACTGTTTTGTCCAACTTTATAATATCTAATAAGATAGACAATTCTTTTTAAGGAAACAAGGGACAACGTTGATAACCATTGTTGATAAACTTGTACTCTGTTCTACACCATGTGCTATGTCTATCCTTGGTATTGACTGACAGCTTTGTTTTGCCATATTTGACTGTATTCTTCCCCCCCCCCCAAGAAAGTAATAAGCACTAAGGAGTAATAAAATCCAAGATGTGTAAATTTTGTTGTAAAAAAGAGAGGGAAAAAAAAAAAAAGAAAAAGAGCTCTAACGGATATAACAGCAAGTGTGTTTGGGGGTGTTAAATAGCTGACTTTATCAATGTTTTTGGAACATTGAACACAGCTGTTTGCAGTCTCCCTGTTTGAATGTCCACCTTGTGTTCTTTGATACTGTGATTTGAGGAACTATTTTCAAGAAGATAGTGTGTAATCTACTAGCAGGTGATTTCTTACTGTTATGTTGTTTTGTTTTGTTTTGTTTTGTTTTGTTTTGTAGTTCTGTATTGCATGTACCCTTACGCCGCTTTGGTTTGTTTTGTGTTTTTCTCTTTTTCCTCTTAAATAAAAAAATAATAATAATAAATAAATAAATAAATAAATAAATAATTTCTCTAGAAGTGGAAAGGCAAGATCCAGACAGATAAGGCTACTATCCCTACAAGCTTGACAAAGCCAACAATGTCTCAGCATTAAAATACCTATGTCTGATTCTTGGCCAGTATACAACATAGGTCCTAAGAATTTCCAACTTGGATCAGGCTAGTTTTCAAGACAGCCACAGATAACAAACAGTCGACACTGTTGGTTATGTGGTTTAATTCTTGGAACAGAGTGTTATCAGTGTGCTTCAGGAAAACTGGAAATAACAAAGCAGATTGCAATAACATGTAATGTACAGTTTATTAAGGTTCTTTGTAAAGGAGGGTGGTAATTATTAGAGTAATCAATTATCTAAGCCTGCCCTTTTTAATGGGCAAAAAAAAAAAGTCTTCCAGAGTTTATTGGACAATTTTTAATAAAGTTTTTCTCCAGGAATGTAATACATGCTTATTATAAAATCCTATAATAAAGAAATATGAAAAGTAGTTCACAGCCCTATCACCCAAAGGTAACTACTATTAAAATTTTTTATGTATTTACTTTCAGATTTCACATAAAAATGTTTTTCTATATTGTTTTAAATATATTTCTATGTTTTAAAAACAATTCTAGCATAAGCATTTTCCTGTTATTACGAAGTGTTCACAATTTAATGGCTGCAAAAGAAAAAGTCCTTTGGTCAGTGTATTGTCATTTTTCTGAACAACTGTTCAGTGGAAATCATCTAAGATCCTACCACAGTACCAAACTATTAGCAATTGTATCCTCCTCCCCAAAAGACCCTGGTGAAATTGTTTTTCTTGTATGAGAGTAAGGCATACGTTTTCTCACACATCTAGGATGGTGCAACTATGAATTTAGAAATCAAGAAGGGGAACTTATAAATTATTTTTCAGAAATAAAAACCAAAGATTTTCTAAGAGTCTCTTTCAGAATATGCATATTAGTAATGTTAGGAAAGCAGGTTATACTAGAAGCTTATTTTCAATTTATCCAATTGCATGTTACAAGTTGCAGCCTCTAGTGATTCACATCTTACCTTGTAAAGATGACTTACTGAAGGCAGTGACAGAAGTGGCTATTGAAGGAGCAGGTAAAAGAGGTAAATTGACTGTACAGATCATGCTTGTTCAAGTATAAAACAACACTGGGTTTAAAAGTAATCCACAGGTTACATAACATCACAACATTAAGTTTTGAACTTCTTTGTGCATAACGTATGTAACGATCTCCACCAAACTATTCTTTATCCTAGTAAAATGGATTTGCGTTGAATAAGACTGCCTTAGATATCATACAAATCAACATTATCTAAGATCTCCAAATTTTAATACATTACATTGTTTCTATAGATTAAAGTCATAAGCTATTTGAAAATTCTAGGGGGGTTGATTCATTTTATAAACCTATTTATTTATTTATTTTTAGAAAACAACTGGCAAGAAACTTCTATCCTTGAATTATAATTAAACCAACACAAAACCATAGGGAGTCTACCTGACTAGAAAAACAATGAATTCACATGTAAATTTTATTTTCTGTTTAAATATAAAAGCCACAAAGAATTATGCTAAATGAAACCAAAAAGCCAGACATGATGGGCATGAAAATTTAGTCCTAACTACTTGGGGCTAAAGCATGAGGATCCCTTGAGCTCAAGTTGCAAGAGAAGCCTGCACAGCTAACTAAGACTCCCATGCCTGAAAAAAAGGGAAGGAGAGACACCGGAGGAGAAAGAGGCCAAAGAGAGGAAGAAACAAGAAAAAAAAAATCCATAGGTATACAGAATTCATAGGTATACAGAAATCCATAGGTATATAGAATAAAAATTCATAGGTACATAGAAAACTATAAAATGTAAATGTCCCCTAAAAAGACAGGCTTTATTCAAATTTCAGTAACTAAAATTATTTGTTATTTATCTACATTTAATTTTTTCTTCTTTTCCCCAATGGCATGTATTTACTTGCCTAAAGGATCAATTAACTTGCCATCGTGAAACTGAGAACACACACATATATATTACATATATATCCCTATATTATATATATCCATATATAACATATAGATATTATATATCCACATATAACATAGACATAATGTGCACACACGCACATAAATATATATTCAGGTAAATGAGTAACACAAAAAGTCTAACTCACCTCCACTGACATCCATGGCATATAATTCTCTCAGTCCCAGGTCATTAAGAGACTTCGTCAAATCCAATGGTTCCTGAGATTGATAATCTTTCAGCAACAAGGTGTGAGACGGGTCAAACTCACACTTGCTACATATCGTAGGAACAAGTTCTTGAAGCGATGCATGTGGACTGACTCTCACTATGGCCTTTTGTGTTTTCTTAAAATTGATCACTACTCTCACAGTTTTCTGAAATGCAGATTAAAACTACAGTTTAGCACAAATTTACTAAAACAAACTTTCCATGATGCTGTCTGGAATAAGAAATTGATCTGCAATGACATATTTATACAACAGACAATTCTCCCCTATTCTGGTGTAAAATTCCTTTTCAGTAATGTTACTTCCTAAACCTAAAGCAAATTCTATCAAAAAATTAGTTTATTAAATCATCTAAATTAAATTCACAACCTCTGTACCATAAAACAGTAAGTAGATCCAAATCCAAAAGGAACAAAAGCCTCATATCTAGTACTACTATTTCTACGTTTTTCTTAAAACATGTTCTGTAAAATTAGGAACTATACATAAAAATAATTATGCATGCTTTCTTCTGTCCTTTAAGCAATATTTATATTTTGAATGGCTTCTCAGCTGTCTCTGTGAAAATTGTGGAAACGAACCTAAAATTTTTGTTTTCTCTACTCAAAGTAGGACAAAATAAGACAAAATGAGCTTTATAGTATTTGTCATAATCAGTAAATAAAAAGTAGTGATCGTGAGTAGCTTTTGTTATTGTTACTATTATACACCGACTAATTTAAATATAATAGTACTAAAACTTTTATTTAGTTAACACGAGTAATTCAGAGTTACTAGGAATCTTTAAAGAATCTCATCATCTTGATGTAACTGAATTACATCTTGTAAATATGTAGAACCTTAGCAACATTTGGGTATGCTAAGTGAAATTTACAGTTTACAGATTCTCAAAGACATTCATTCATAAAAATCTTAAGTATAATCGAGGGGCTTCGAGACTGATAATCTACACTGTCAGCATAAACTACTTCCAGCATGACAAATGGCACAGATACGCAAAAATAAGAACATACCTAGACAGTAGTAACTCAATATCTTAGATAATATTTAATATTCAATCACATATAAAAGTGAAAATTTTAATATAAAAGACCCTGCTAACTTTTTTGGTAAATGTTTCATAATATTTTTAAAAAATGAAAATACTAATATTTAAATAATATGTAGATAAACAACAATTTAAAACTATGTAAAATTTCATATAATTTATGACATGAAAAATGGTTGGTATTTCTGATAAAAGAATTTAATACCAAAAACTTCTACACTATGACAGTGTAATTTTATAAGGAGCTGATTTAAGGGCCTGGGGATGTAGCTCAATGGTATGGCATCTGCCTACATGTGCAATGTGCTGAATCTAATCTTCAGAACTGCAAAAGAAAAAATATATCCATATATAAAATATGTATTTTTGTACATATAAAGAACTGGTTATACTAGAACTGTTTGGGTTAAAAATTATAAAGAAAACTGAGTCACTGAGTAGCATAAATAACAATAATTCAGGCATGAGGAAATTATAACTGCCACTTATTAGGAGCCAAAATATTATTTTAATAAATTAGTACAAAAAATTTCATTAAAAATTCTAAAACTTTATGTGTAACATTTTTTAAAAACCAACTTAAAACACAGCACACCCATTCTGGTCAGCCTTTGATATATTACAGTTCACATTATAGCATTTGATATCTAAAGTATTTCCCCAATTCTAGGTGATCCAAGGATAAATAACCAACTAAATCTTAAATTAAGTGGTCTAATATAAAATGATAATCATGTTCAGATCAAATTTGATTAGAAATTCAATTTTTATTTCATTTATAATGAGGGTTAGGTATTGACTAAAAAAATCAACTTAATATCTTAGTCAATAGTCATTATAATCTATGGTGGAATCCTTACCTCTGGTATTATAGGTGTAGGTTTTTTCTTATCCAAATTTTTTGGCTTTAAAATCACTTTCTCTACATCCAACATTCCTATAGGTGTATTTGGCTTAAATTTAATGTTATTCTTCTCAGCTGACAGCAGATCAATTGTGTAGCTTGATGGATTTAAGTGATACTGTGCACACAGGAATATCAGCAAGTCCATCATAGGCTTACTGTAAAACAAGAGTAATATTGATCATAAGTGTCCATAAAACAATTTCATTAACTATTAGTTATTGTTTTGACAATTATTCTTAGAGTATGTTTATCTTCAATAGATAAAGCAAGGCTACACAGTAACTGCGAAAGCACCCTAAAAATCTATATTTAATTGAGCTGGATGTTGTGGCACATGCCTGTAATTCCAACACACTGGAAGGCAGAGGCAGGAACATCAATTTGATTCCAGCATGGACAACTGAGCAACTTGGTGCCCTATTTCAAAATACAAAGCAAAAGGGACTGGATTACAGATCAATGCAAAGGTCTGGGGTTTAATACCCAAGACCAGAAAAAAATTTAAAAATTTTAAGAGTTAAAAAGTCCTACATAGCTCGGAAGAGACTTAAATCCTAGTGTTGGTTCAACCCAATTATTACATTCTTATTATTATGTTCTTATTTGCCTCTTTTGTCACATCATAAATTCTAGGAAAAGGGAGGTGGAGGAAAGGGGAGAAAGGAGGAGACAGAAAGGGAGGCGAAAGCGGGGGAAAAAGGGACAGTCATCATCCTTTCCTGAGCCACATGGACATTAGTTTAGCAGGGACGCCTTCACAAAATGCTTGGAATAATGACAGCCCTGGGCTAATAAACTGGGTGTACCCCAAATGAAGCATTTAGAACCACCACAACCTTTTTTGGATTTGGAAAGTGCAGATACCATCTATGTGAGGAGGCCCACAAAATCCTAAAGAGCACAGTACAGATTTCTCAAGTCACAGAATTTTTAACATTTCTTAGCTGTAGCATCACATAATAAAGTATTATGGATTAGCTGATCTCACAGATCTAACACACTGTTAGACAGACTAGACCAAGAGCAGCAAAGTACAACCTGCAGGACAAAGTAGGTACAGTGTATTTTTAAAAATAAAGTTTTATTGAAACATAGCCACATCTGTTTCTTTACATAAATAGCTGAGATTCCTGTTGTGTTACCATGGAATATGGAAGTAGACATGATATAGATTGGAAGGACCACAAAACCCACTATTTTTACTGTCTGAAACTTGAGAGAAAACACTGACAGCTCCTCATGCTGTGTACAGTGGTGCATACCTGCAATCTCAGCCCTGGGGGAGTGTGAGCAAGGAATTTAGGAATTTAGTTATCAAGACTGTCTTAAAATTAAAAGGGGGGCTAAGGACACAGCTTGATGTGAAGACTTTGGCCTCAAATCCCAGTGCCATGCCATAAATAAATAAATAAACAAATAAATAAATAAATGCACGAGATCATTGCAAACAGTGATTGTCAGATCCTAATGGTAATTCAGGACCTATTTTTATAGGAACTTGCATACCCAATTTGATATTCATTTGATTTAGTAGTATATATTTGTCATACATAATTACATTCATCTGGGTAAGTGGTACATTTGCATATTACCACCTCATTTTTGCTTCCCTTTCTCACCCCAGATCTTCTAGATACTTCCCAGTTCTTTGTTTTGCTTTCCAAAGATGTCAACTGTTGACACAGACTTCTGTTTTCACTCACAAATGTCAACAGGTCAAGGCAGTCACTGGGTCTTTATCAATCTTTAAAGAACACTGAAAACTCTTCTGTATCACCTGCTTCCCTCAAATGCCTGAGACTCCTAAATTGGCAGTTCACACATAGTACAAAGGCACTGAAACACCGTACAGAGGTCCTGAGCTCAAGATGGAAGTGTAGGTCCAGGGTTTGGGGTAAGCAGGGAAGCCCATTTTGTGCCACCAGGAAATGTACATGTCAGTAAAAATGAGTCTCTCATTTCTTAACTAGAGATCCAAACCGAGCTACTGGCTCTCCGGAATTTGACCAGGACAGGAGCCTGGGAATCTCACCCTGCAGCGTACCTATTTTCACATGGCCCCTCTCTGTCCTCTTCTGGGCAGTTGGTCACGTTTGGGGTCCTCTATGCTTTCACAGCAGGAGCCTCTGGTACAGGTGGGGAAAGGTCAGTTGTCTAGAACTGTGTGATCCTGAGGTCAAAATTGTGAGTAGATTTTCAAGCTCTGCCCTGTGGTCAGCCCCTGCATTACCCTCACCTTCCTGGTTGACTGTAGTTCTTAGGCCACTCTAGTACCTTGTCACAAGTGGTTTTTCAATGGGCCTCCCTTCTCTTCTGCCACACCATACATATATCAAGAGAAGTAAACAAAAGACTAAATCCTACAATTAAAAATGCTCCGGGTGTGGGGGCTCACGCCTGTAATCCCAGCACTCAGGAGGCTGAGGCAGGAGGATTGTTGTGAGTTTGAGACCAGCCTGGGCTACAAAGTGAGCTCAAGGTCAGCCTGAACTGCAGAGCAAGACCCTGTCTCAAAAAGACCAAAACCAAAACAAAAATGCTCTCTAGAATACAGTTCATGCTACAAAATAGTATTTCCTATCTCTGTAGCTGTTACAAAGAAACATGTAGGAGCTTTATGTCCTCTTTCTGAGCAGCACACTGTGCTCATATATGAATGTGGACAGCTGCCTCAATTTTAGAAGTTTATTTCCTGGCAATATACTACTCTGGTGGTGCTACACATTGGTTCTAGATTAGGAAATAGTACTGTCTTTGAAAATAGAAAGAATTAAAGAGAATTAGATAATGTCTACAATAACATAAATCTGTTTATGTTACACATAAACTGGAAGAAGAGAGAACTCTGTCATTCAAATTGAGACAGAGTTGTTTGCTGTCATCTATGTGTAGGTAGAGAACGGTTCAGATTATATTTCTCTTTCTAAATATGACAAGTAATAAATGAGAAAACATTAAAGGGTACAAGTCAAGCACCTTTTATTTCTAGCAGAAATGTTAAGTTAAAACAAAAGTTGTAATTCTGTTAAAAAGTAGTTAAGTGTAAGAACATTGCTTGAGTTTTTAATTGGTGGGACTGAGAAATTCTGTATCCAGGATCTGGTACTGCCCTACCCCACACCCCTGTGGCCTCTGTGGGTGAAGCCATCTGGGAAAGGGGTGACAGAGGCCTCACCGGGGTCCTCTGAATGCAATTCTTCCAGGACTGCTTTCCTCCTTTTCTTCTCTAGGCATCTACACCTCCTAACAATGACGCTTTTTAATTTAGTTTATTTTTTTTTTTACAATTCAGAATGTGACTGTTAAACATTTTTGAAAGCTAGAAAATTCAGATAAGCCAAAAAATTAAAACATGATGTTATTACTGAGCAGGCAGATTAAAAATATTATTAATATTGTGGGACTTAATCTTCTAGTCACATACACCCTGATACATGTACAGGCAGGTGTTTTTTAATACCAGCATGGCATTATACTGTCTATGCTATGCTGTAATCTGATTTTTTTTTATTTAAAAGGAAAAAGAGAAAAAAACAGAACAAAGCAAAACAGTATAAGGGTACAAGTAATACAGAACTACAAAAGAAAAAAAAAACCAGATATCACCAATTAATAGATTACACACTATCATCTTTGAAACAGTGATTCAGGTCACAGGATCAAAGCATACAAAGTGAACATTCAAATAGTGAGACTACAAATAATTGTGTCAATGATCCAATCAAAAATATTAATATGGTCATCTATTTAACACACCTAAACACACTTGCTGTTGTATACTTTTGGGCACTTTTTTTTTCTCCCTCTCTTTATTACAACAAAATTTACACATTTTGGGTTTTATTGCTCCCATAGATCTTATTACTTTTTTTGTAAGAGAATAAAATCAAACATGATAAAACAAAGCTGTCAGTCAAAACCAAGGATAGACATAGCACATGATGTAAAAACAGAGTACAAGGTTATCAACAACGGTTACCATAATGCCTCTTGCTTCCTTAAGAAAAATTGTCCATCTCATTAGGTATTATAAAGTTGAACAAAACAGTAGAGAACAAGTCCAGTAAAACCTAAACATTGTAAACCTTACAGAACTTCGAAAGAGGATAATAGTCAAACCAGAATGGGCATCAAGTGAATCTTATTGCCTTAAAGCAATTGCCTATACTCTGATACTTAATACTATCATACAGAGCGGAACACAGTCTAATCAGTCAAAACAAGATAGTGGGAGTTGTAATCTGCTTTTGTACAGTTACAGTTTTCGAATTTTCATGACAATAAAAGTCTACTGTTACTTTGTCTATATTCAAATTATGACAATCACAGTGAACAATTTATGGGGTTTTGCTTTTATAAATATATGTGTTTAGTAAGTATGTTCTTAAATCAGTTTTTATAAAAGTAATAATTTATAGCTACTTCTGCTTCTGAATATAACACTCAAGATAAATGACCAGTAGAGTCCAGTGCATTATGGTGACTTTCAACTTTTTCTTTTATAATAATGTGTCTGTTTTCACTATTTAAGAATTTTATCAGCTTAGTAATAACCCATCTATTATCTTGAAATCTTGCTTATGTTACCTTCTTTTCTTACAGTGTAATTATTTTTTAATTGATGTATATTTATAACATTATATTTACATTAAGTTTGAGGAATTAGGACACACACACATTTATTATTTTTTAATTCCTCCCACTCCAGTCTCCCATCTCCAATTCCAGAGTCTATCTCCCTGTTTCCTCTTACCTTTTTTTGGTATCAGGGATTGAGCTCATGACCTCATGCTTGCCAGGCAGATGCTTGTGCTACTGAGCTAAACCCCCAGCCCCGTACTCTTTAATTATATTTTGAGCTTTCATGTAAGACAAACTATACCGAAAACAGGAATTCTATTTGACTCAGCTATACCTCTCCTGGGTCCCTAGACAATCAAAATCATTATCATCATACATGTGTACCCAGGTATGTAGCCACACAATGGTATGTAGCCACACAATTCACAATAGCTAAGCTCCCGAAGGAGCCTGTATCCGCATCAATAGATGAACAGAGAAAGAAAATATGATTGATATATATATATACACAATGTAATTTTATTCAGCAATGAAGAATGAATTGATGTCATTTGCAGGAAAACGGATCTCGAATGCAAGTCAGACACAAACTTCTAGCATAATTCAATAGGCATTCTCAACTTCGAGATTAGATTTATACAGGGGTAGTTAGAAAGCAATGTTTCATTTTTTAATTCATCACTGACTTGTATAGGTTAGCATCACATGGATAAATGTTAGTATCAATAGAGGGTAGTCTAAAAATTTCTTTACTATTACTTGTATGTCAATCTGGTATTTCAAACTAGTTGATCAATTCTGTAGTGAATTTATTGGTAAGCGATTTTGTTTAAACACATGTAGAATGTATAAGTTTATACAGGTAGTGTTTGCATTCCTCGTATGATTTAGTTATGTTTTTTGCTATTGTTTTGCTATACTGGAGGTTAAACCAAGGGCCTTTGAACTGAACTATATATTTAGCCTTTTAAAAATTTTTATGAGTCTTGCTAAGTCACTAAATTGCTCATGCTGGGCTTAAACTGTCAATTCTCCAACCTCAACCTCTCAGAGAGCTGGAATTACAGGCATGCACCACCACACCCAGATTCCCAAGTGAATCTTTAAAACACAGAAGACTTGTCTTACAAGTGGGCAGGGTTACTACTAGTATGTGCGTGATGAGTGCAGAAAGAGACAGCAGGACTTAGGGATAATGTGGTGAAATCATCACTCTATAAAGTTAAACTGCAATCCATGGTGTGTTTCAAACCATTTGTCCCATCCTGATTGGCAATACTTTAGTTACTGTGATGCTAAAATGTAGCTGAAGGACTACTGGATTGAAAAGTGAGAAAACCTCCATGAGTTCTACCTGTGCTGTGCACAATCTGGTCCTGGTCCTGTGACCTCTCTAACCTCAGCTGTTTCCTTCAAAAACCGAGAGGTTGTGGTTGTTGTGAGCTGAAATGTCTTAACAGATAACACAGGGTTCTCCTCCTCCTCCTCTTCCTCCTCCTCTCCTTCTCTTTTTTCTTTCTTTCTTTTTTTTTTTTTTTTTTTTTTTTTTTTTTTTGTACCAGGAATCAAACTCAAGCCCTTGTGCTTCACAGGCAGGCACTGTCCACTGAGGTCTAGCCCCACTCTCATTTATTTCCAAAAGGAAATGTGGGAATCTTCTAACGAATAGGTTTTAAAGAGTTTTAAAAAAAATCATCTTTCAAGAAATCATTTTCCTGTAAGGGAAAAAAAGACCTCAAATAATAATAATAATAATAATAATAATAATAATAATAATAATAATAACGCAAAGCTGATTTTGTTAAGTAATAAAGTAAACCAAAAACCAAAGTAATGTGACAATAAGAAGGAAGGAGAAACTGACGTGCACTTGAATGATGAAGTGTTGATCAGGTTTACACACTCCCTTATCCACTTTCAATAATTTGCCTCAGGTTAAGATGGTCTGCAGGGTGCATTTCTGCCTTAGGTAACAGGAAGACAGATGTCTTTCTTGTGGCAAGCCTGTGATCCAATCTGTCAGCCAGTGGCTATCAGGTATATCAGTTCAGGGTAATTATTCTCAAGCCCAAATTATTAGCATTGGCAGCAGCAGTGTGGTATCCAGGTGGATAATTGGAAATAACTATATCCTTTTTTGTAGGTGCAATTTGTGCCTATTTAGTCCCAGCACCAACCACAGGATACAAGACCAGCTTCAAAGTTAATATCCTACTTTTCCAGAGTGATGGGTCCTTGCTAGTAGAGCTAGGTAACCTGTATTTCCCACTCTCAAAATCCTCCGGTCGGGGTCAACTCTTCAGGACTTTAGGGCCAAATACTGAAGGTTCAGTTAAATACTCCAAGCACACAAGTCTGACCCTATGTTGGGGAAAGGTCTTAGCCCTACTCAAGGCTGATGGCATTGCTTTAGACACTGTCACTTAAATGTGTTAACATAACCCGAGTATATGAATTTGCTTTCAGTAACCATGTTTTCTCATACATCAGATACTTTTGCAGAGATCTCAGTTGTATGTAATTTGCTGTCTCGAACACTAATGTCTAAGCAGAATTACCTAATGAAAAAAAAGTCAATCTCTGTAAATTCCTCACTCAACACTCAAGAATCCGTACTCCTAACAAGAGTCCATACTGATACTGCTGGTCCCTGGATCACACTTTGAGAACCAAGGTGCTTGTGACTACTCTTGTCCAGGAGGGGGAGACATTCATCATGCGGTACCCATCCAAACTGAATTTAAGAGCACCATTCTCGGACTATGGGTAGGATAGAACAAAGATTCACCAGGAAGCAAGCCCTCCTCCTGCGAACCACAGCTCAGAGTGGGCCTCTGCTGGCAGGGGTGACACCCAGATACCAGCCTCTTCAGCACGTGGGCTGGCAAATGAGAAGAGCCAATTGCTATCCATCCTCCTCCTAAGTGACTGGCTGATCCGGAGAAACACAGGCTGTGATGACAGCTATTGAAATGCAATGTGATGCTTGTGTGTTTTGTTGTTTTGCTGACCTTGCAAGTCTAGGTCTGATCATCTATTCAGAGGATAGCGGGACACACTGTGACACCTAGAGGGGATCTCCTTCAGAGGGTGGTAGCCAATGTTGTTTTGTTTTGAAGTTCTGTGTGGTTTTCATTGTTTTTTTGGCTTTTGTTATACCCAATGGCATGAGCAGCTGTTTCAGGGATAGCAAGATACATTATGGTGGCCATTTTGGATTCACTACTGTCTTGCCTTGAAGTCCTTTGTTGCATTCATTGTTTTGTTTTTATTGGTTTTATTCTGTTCTGTTCTGTTTGATTTTTACTATGTCTGAAGGTATCACAGCTATTTTGAAGACAAGAGGCATTATGGTAATTATGCTGATTTCATATTGTTTTGAAGTCCTATATCACTAACACTGGTTTGTTTTGATTGGTTTTATTTTCCTTGGGTTTATCCTCTTTAAAATAAAAAAATTTTAAATTATAAAAAAACCTGAATTTAAAGGTAAATGAAATTTAAAATTTCACTTTTTTGTCCACCAACTCAGTGGCCACTGTATTGGACAGCACAGATTGAAAACATCTCCAAGACTGCAGAAAGTTCTACGGGATGCACTGCTCTAGGAGGTAAACAACATAAAGGTAGATTTCTTTTTTGTTTTTATCTTTCTTCTCCCTCCAACATTATAATTTCATGTTTATATAGCTAATCTAGCTGGAGCTTAATTTTGTATAAGAAAAATACTAATTTTATTAATAGCTAGTTTTCTATTAAAAACTCAGTTTTCTCCAGAAGTCTGATATACCGTTTATCATATGCAGTATTAAACACCTACAGACTCATAAGGATCTAAACCAAAATATAAACAAGCATTAAACATAGTCATAAATAGGTTTTTAGCAGTTTTTAAATTAGTCTATTATTTACTACATATTAATTTGTATTATTTACCACATAACTATTACCATTTGACACTTTTCAACAAATATAAATACGATGTGAATTTTTTCAGTCCTGAGATCCATACTACAGTTTTATTCCTTTATTTTGTTTTAACCAAAAGAACACAAAATAATCTAGCACTCTGGTCGTTTTCATGTACACTTGTTTCCAACAGGTGGCGCTGAGCTCCACATAAAATGCTCTGGGTTCCTTACTTGACAGCCTGTGCTAGTTAAAACTCCTGGCGTTTCTGGATAGTCAAATCAGGCCACAAATCAGCATTTCTCTGAGTCATTTTACAGCACAAGCTCAGAGAAGTGAGGCTGCTTGTTTCAAGTCGCATAGCAAATTATCAAGCAATGTATAACTCCTAGTTGGAGCTACAAGCTTCAAGTTCTGCGCTTGTATTTTCATTCATGATATCCTCAGGTTTGTTAAAAATCAAAACGAATTCCCATTTATGGTAGAGAGAAATAGCCTCCACTACTACAAATTGTATTTTTTTCCTTCCTCCCTTAATGCCAACCTTTTATCAAGTTTACCAAATTTAAAAGTAAAATAAGTATTTTGCTTTAAAAGTAAACCCAAAGAGGAAAAAAAGAACTAACATTTATTCAGTGATTACACGCTGAGCAAAATATGACTATAAGGAAGGTTTTTAAAATCTTTTAATTAATACATCTTTGCATCGCATATTAATTATATTCATCATACCTATATACTCCTTTAACTCTGTGTAGTGTCTGTAACAGTTTAGGCTGTCAGCTCACTTTCATTAAAAATTAACTTTTGCCCAGTACTAGCAAGATTTTCTGAGAAGCACAGCCTTTAGGCAGCTTGTCTTAACAGCAATATCCTTATCCTTTCATGGTCATTTTTAATAAGGGGAAGAATAGCTTTGGTGAAAACGCTAAATTATCAGTACACACACGTGTATGCACGTGCACACCCCCTACATTAATAGGATATACTAGGATATACTGTATGTTTTGTATGTATATAAATAAAATATTTTAATTGCTCCTTCCTTCGATCATCTCTGAGGTCAGGATACAGAGAAATACTCCAGAGTCTTCAGTTTACCACTGCAGATAAAATCAGCGTAAGCAAAGGATCTCAAAGGTACCATGGCAGAGACTTAATCATCTACTATGCGGAATCACTAAGCTTTGATACCAAAAGTCTTTTAGCTACCAAAAGGTTACCAGAAGGCTACCAACCTAGTTCTGAGTAACAAATTTTTAGTTTTTTTTCTGAGCACAGTCTCCTACTACTCCAATCTTACTGTGTTCTCTACTCTCAAAAAGCTCTTTGGTGAAAATCAATGTACAAACAAGGGCATTTTTCTGAAGATAGTGCAGTTATGTGCTCAAATTTCTGCAAATGGGACATTTTATGCATATCTCTGCATTAGACATACAAGAAGACAAAGGGAAATCTTCTAAAAATAGGATTCCTTCGGGATAGATTGTGGGGGAAAAACATTTCTGAAAAGTTTAGTGAAACATGTAAGTTTCTAAGTGCCTATTTCAGTCTAATGCTGATGTTATTTTTCACAACAAATGCATAATAAATACCATCAAAACAAATAAGACCTTTAGACAAATTAAAAAAAGATAGGTCTGAGAGTACTATATTAGAGACCTTTTAGAATCTGATTGTATTTAAAAATCCTTAAGTGTGTGAATCAATTATTTAAAATTATCTTTCTCAGTTCTCCATCATATTCTTCTATAATCTGTAGAAATCGTCCCTATTTTTATAACAAAATCATAAGATATTAATCTCCATTATTGAGTCTTCTCATCAGTTAGCTAACATTTTTCAGAAACACAGAATATTTGTGTTTGAATACTTTTAAATTGTTAAATAATTTTTATTATTTTATTTTATTTGGTGCCAGGAATGGAACTCAGAACCTTGTGCTTGCCAGGCAAATGCTTGTGTCACTGAACTATATCCCTGGTCCTAAATACTTTTTAAAATGATAGGCCAGCAATAACTATGTCAAGATAGTTGCAATTGCCCTATTAATATTTCCTAAATCACACTCCTATGATATTCCAACTATGCTCTTAATATATGTCAAGTTGCATTCTAAAATATCTTGAATCAATTTCTAAAGATATTCTAGAATCATATCCTTAACATATTCAAAATCACAGACTTTAATCATAAACACAATATAAAAAAATTATCATAGTATCTACAAGTCATTCTTAGGTGATCAAACTATCAAGAATGAAACTGTTAAATTCTGTAGTAAAAACACTAATGACAAATACATTCTATCCTCTGAAAAACTCTTCAGCCCTGAATAATCTAAAAACAAAAAAAATTGAGAGCTTTACCATTCAGGGCATTCCTATTTTGCTGTCTGTATAAGGAAAATATCTTTTATTAAAGATTCTGGAAAAGCAGTAAAGTTCATTCCAAATTCCAAACACCATATAAGTTGCTACCACTAACTACCACTAACTATATACAAGGACTTCAAGTAATAATATTTATTTCAATAAATGAAATACCCACTGCCCTGCTAGAAAGTGCTGGAAAATGTTTTAGGCATTATAAAGAAAAGCACTGACATCTGGTGTGGCCCTTACGGTTTACTCAAGAAGAGAAGACATACATAAAAACGACAGCACAGGAAAACAGTCAACATCCATAGTATAAGGAAACCAAAGGAAGCAATTGAAAAGAACAGCTGATTCTGGGAAACTTAGGGAGTCTTTATATAAAAGGTGTCAGTTGAGCTACATAAATTAATTGGAGAAAGTAAAAGTGATAAATTCTGCCAGGGTTTTAAAAAAAAAGTTCAAAGCGGAATGGAAGTGGAAAACATGGAGTATCTATAGGAAAACAAAGAACCATGCGGTAAAGCTTAAGACCTACAAAGGAGAGCAGCAAAGGAAAAGCCTACTTTATTTCAGAGAAGAAAATCACACGTCCCGATCTCCATAATCAGCAGTTTGAACTTCCTTAGTTTGGTATTCAGTTGCTGTCCTTTGCAGTCTTTTATCAAAGGAGGTGCCACAAAATGAGAGGTGCCTTAGTCAGATTAGTCTGTGGGTGCTGGGTAAATGGAAAGTCTCCCTAGGAAGGACAGCAGCCCCCAGGAGAAAACAGACTCTTTCTGCACTGCCATAAAAAATAAATAAAAATAAAAAATAAAAAAGCTGTAATAAGCATCAAGCACTGATAGTATTTCACTTAATCTTAGCAAAATTTCCATAGACAGGAACACAGTAATTCAACAATAGGCAGTGGCCCCAGGAAAAGCATGGATGGAAAGTTACACAGGTGTGGGGACTTGGAAGACAACATGCTGGAGGGTCGCAGGAAGGTGAGAAAAGTCCAGGGTCCTGGCTGAGTAGAAATGAAGCAGAAAGGGCTGATATAAACTTATAATTAGATAGGAACAGAAATTGGACATGACAAAATTTAGACATGAAAAGATGCAACAAAGAAAGGTCTTAACAGGTTTGGGGGGAGGTGAAGAAAAAGGTTAAGTCAAGAAAGAGAAAGAAGCTATTATAAAGGCTGTGTTAAAGAATGGATCCAGTAATGGGATGGCTGGAAAGTCCTGGGAATCCATGATTCACTCCCCAGAGGCCAGGGCCACCTGCCTGTGGACAGAGCCTCCCAGGGTGAACGGTGCTGCGCGCCAAGTCTAAGGTAACTGTGATGGGTGAGTCAGGAGGAAAACCAGGATTCTGAAACCAAAGCCACTGAAATTTAGGGGGCAAAAATCCAGAACCCGAGTGATAGCAAAGAGAAAAGATGACAATTTAGAGAGATTTCTTCCAAGAAGAAATTCAGAAGCATTATCAGTGATGAAGCCAGTATTACCTGTAATTATCAGGTAAGAACTAGGAAAAATGCTATCTATTCTTTTATTTAAACTGACTTGGAATTCAGGGAAAAGAAGAATTGTCTTAATGACTCTCAAACATATCCAATATAATTATTATTTAAAACCAAAATAATGGCCTTCTGTCAAGAATTGAGAGGCTAAGGGAGTGGGATATAGCTCAGTGGTACAGGGCCTGCTTGGCAAGCACAAGGGCCTAACTGAGTTCAACTACTGGCACTGAAAAAATAAAAATAAAAAAATTTTAGAAATTTTAGAGATGAGATGGCAGGCATAGTTTCTAACTTCTATGATGCTTTCCTTACACAGACATAAAAAACAAACTGTGAGTGCAAGAGGACATTCACAAGTTTCAACTCCATAAAGCTTAATGCATGATCTCTAAAACTACTTTCAATACAAACTGCAAAAAGCAATTTACATTAACTTAATGAGCATTAATACATAACACCGTGTGTTATTTGCTAAAACCGAACTACTTTATTGTCACCTATATTCATAATTTGTAAAGTTACATGATTTTGGAAATCTCAAATTTAAGGTTATTTTGAACTTTCTAAAAAACAAAAAGACATTATAGAAATGCAACACCCAAGTTATTGTTTATTCTTTCATCTTCCATATAAACATACATGTACTACACTAAACTCCAAACAGCTTCAATTTGTAAAACAGACTCTTAAATAACAATGGGCAATTGATGGGAAAAGATAGAACAAGATTGAGTATAGAGTTCATGTAACTTTCCACTTCAGAAAGAAATGGAAAATTACATTTGGCTTTGTTCCATTTTTACAATTTTTATGCAGATACTTAAAACTATCAGTCTCCTAAATTACATTTTCACTCTTTGCTAGATTGAAGTTTGATTTTATACTTCTATTTACCTCATTCCCACTTTTAAAATAAGTTTAATTGATGAGGTAGAAAAGAAAACTAATTACACGGACAAATTTATCTGTTTTAGTAAGAGAGTATTATGTTTTAGAAATGGTGACTTTTACAAATCAAAGAATCAGCTTGAAGTGGAAAGAACAATTTGGATAGGGATGGTATGGTTTATATCTAAAATGTCCCCTCAGAACTCCTGTCTGCAGAAGCGGGCCTTTGGGAAAGTGACTGAATCATGTGGGCACACTGTACTCATCAGTGGACTAATGCATTAAGGAGTTCATAGCTGCATGTGCTATTAGAAGGTGATGTCTCTCTCTCTCTCTCTCTCTCTCTCTCTCTCTCTCTCTGTCTGTCTGTCTGTCTCTCTGTCTGTCTGTCTGTCTGTCTGTCTGTCTCTGCTTCCTGGCAACTGCAGGTCGAGAAACTTTTATCCACCATGTTGTTTATGCCATGGAGACAGCTTGTCATACACTGAATTCTCTGAAACAGCAAGCAAAAATAAACCTCTCCTCCTTTAAAATACAATTTAAGGTTTGAGTGCTTGGTATTTTTGTTCCAGTGATGGAAAGTGACTAATATAAAAGGGGAAATTTTTTTTCATATCATTGACTTACTAAATCAAATCAGTAATTAGAACTCCTCTAGGAAAGGCTTATTTTTTAATAATTTCGAATATTAAGAGTCATATGGGTTGGTGGATTTCATTTAGCATTGATGTTAAAATACTGAGAGTAAAATATTAATACCCTTTTAGCATTCTACTTTTAAAAACACATGTAACCGAATGGTGAATGAAATATTTTGTAACAGAAAAAAAAAAAAAAAATCAAGAGAATTACAGAGGGTTTGAATGATAACAGGAAGGTCCTACTATTTAACTTTCTCCAACATACCTGCCATGAACAGTAGTAGATTTGATGATATCCCCAGGTAAAACCACTGTAAGGTCAATGTCTTTATCTATTATGTTTTCTTTCTGTTCCATAATGAAAGCAGCAGATTCTACAGAATCATCAAATGAAGAGGCGTCCACATATTTTGTCTCAGCTGGAGGAAGTGGTGCCTTGGCTTTTGTTTTTCTCCTAAAATAAAAATAAAATGCAGAAAATAAAATAAAATTATATATACATACATATATTCCTAGATATGATTTTATAAAACTCCCAAAGATATGTATATAATTTTCACATTTGCAAACAGCACAATATTAACTGTTGTTTTCCTTTTCCAATCTTCACTTTGTTTTGTGTTTTGAGCACTATGCATACATTATTTGGTAATAAAAAGAGGATAAGGAAATGTCATATTTGTCTACATTCAGTTTAATAAATGTATTTGTCACTAAATAGTAAATAAAGAGTATAATTTATTGTCTTTGTTAAGATAAATTATAAAAATCTGTAACTTCTCTAAATAGAAATCAATTACCGTACCTATTCACACAAATTCAAGCACTCCTGTGCACTAGTCATCTTGAAGAGACATATGCAGTACATTTTACATTAATCTATTATGATAACACTTTTAATAATATTAGGCACACTATATTAAACTTTTACAATTGCAAAAAAAAGAATTTTAAATGCTGTTATAATGAATATATGTTTATAAGAATTTATATGAAGAAAAATGTTTCCCAATTTCAAATTTTAGGTTTTATTCTTCAGAAATTACTCATGCATAACAAATATTTATCCTATAACAATTATTGTGGTAGGTTGTGCTCACATGCTGAGACACAAAGATGAAGGACTCAGTTCTTATCCCTCAAGTGTTCATGGTGTATTACTATGAACAACAGATATATACAAAATTACAATAACATTTGGTGATTGATTTAAGACAGGAATAAAAATGGTATAGCTGATTATAGATGAGCACGCACTCAACTCTCTTAGGAATTCACAAATGATTTTCAGATGGGAAGTATGAACTGAGTTTGGAGAAGTCAACTGAAAAATACCCAGGAAAAGACTAAAAATAATTGATAGTTCAGGTAGCAAAAAGCAAATAGAGTCTTATAATAGTACTTTTTAGAACTGAGCAGTTTAGTAAAATTGTACGGAGAAGTCATAGGAGAAATCAGCGATCAACAGAAAAGCTTTTATAACTGAGAATTCAGTGACACACCTTGGTACCAAGTTAAAATGCTGAAAATTCCACAGTTTACACATACACAAGCAAAAAACAATCCATAAGTATGAGAAAAGAAAAATTCATTGTATTCCAGTAGTTGTAATACACTGTAGTGCAGAAATGAATTTTTTAAAAGATTCTTCAAGTCTTCTCATCTCTGCAAGTCACACTTTTTTTCAGCTGCCTGAGGCTGAAAGTCCTCTTTCTCACCTATGCTCCTCCAATCCCTAAAAGTCTATCAGGTCAACAGTATCCACCTCAAATATCTCCTTTTATTTCTCTTCCCAGACTCTTCAACCTTCCTGCCGTTATAAACACTGTCTGTTATTTTTCAAGATCCTGTTCAAACTGAAATTCTTGGAGATGTCTTCCCTGTTTGGTGCATGCTACAATAAACTCTAACTCACAGTTGTGATGCTTTTTGTGTGGGTGTGTTGCTGTCTTAAGTCCTAAAATACTATGAGTCTGTAATGAAATCCTGTTTCTAATTTATTAGCAATAAGCTTATTACAGCAAAGAAAAGCAGAACAAAGCACTGGTTGAAATATTTATTATTTACATAGAACTTCTTTTGAGAACACTCCACAGTCTGTTATTGCTTTATTTATTTATTTATTTATTTAGGTACCAGGGATCGAACTCATGACCTTGCACTTGCCAGGCAGGTGCTTACACCACTGAGCTAAATCCCCAGCCCTTATTGCTTTAATTAGTAAGACATTTTCACATCTCTGGAATTGAAAAACTCAACGTACCTGTGAGTGAGAGCAAGAGCTTTTCATAATGAACTAGCAATCCAAAAAGGAATATGCAAAAGATACAAAGCAAAAATGAACTGTCATAAAACAGACAAGTAACCTTGAAAATGCTGAAGGAGAGCCAGACAAAACTATCCGGGCAGGAATGAGAAGGCAGGGGTCAAGGGAAGCTTTACAGAAGAGAGAAAAGTGATTCAGTTCTTAAAGAAAACTAGAGCTTAGGCAAATTCCACAGGTCAGTTATATGTTGGTTCCCAACTGTGACCCATTCACATCAAACTTAAGACTGTGTTTACTTTATTTACTACACCATCCAATCTAGTGAAAAGAATTGCAAGTGGAGGGCTGGATTGGACATGAATTCTAAACAGCTGTAAGATTTAACTCTGTAACCTTACATTCATCAGGAATTTTTTAAAACTGTTTTTGTTTAACCTACTCACATCTCTAGTGTTCTTAATTTTTTGGGTATGAGATGCTCTGAAGCAATAAAACAACTAAATTAAATATCATCCAAACCAAAAACTATGGTGAAGATAATCAAATCAAAATGGATTATTTAAAAATATATGTAAAAAATCTACTTCACACTTAAATTTAAATGTGGAAAATTCTGGCAATGTGGACGGCACCATCATTAGTCAATAATGACTATATTATCAACAAATACGAGCTATAAATACTAGCTATCATATTTAAAATTTTTAAGTTAGCATTACTACCAAAGGCCTCTTGCTTCTTTTAGGCAGGAATATTTGTGTCATTTTTCCTTCCCAAGATATCACTGTGCAAGCTTTTCTTCACTAATGGCAGAGTTTGACTGTCTGTCATTTAGAGACTGCGTTTATGTGGAGAGAAAATTACACTGAAAAGACATTTGAGGCAGTAATTTCCACCAAGTCAAGGCTAAAGCTAATATACAGTAAGGCATCATTTCACATATACAATATATTTAAAAATAACAAAACCTCATTTTAATATAGCAGTTAATAGATATCTGCTTATATTACTGATCTTTTTAATGTTTTAATTTACATAACATTTCAAAATCTTGCATCCATTATATTCAAAACTCCTTTACTGTCAATATTCATATCCTTACAACAGATGAATAAAAAACAATGGAATTTTAATCAAATATTTTTTTTCTTGGCTTGAAAGACAAAATCTTAAAATGTTGTTTGAAGCATAGTTATATCCTTTATAAAGTGCTTAAACCCAAAGAGATTTCATTTGTTTGCCTTTTTATAGTATTTTTATATATTCAAAGTACTACACAAAAATACAGCTTCATTATTGAAGACAAAAACATAAAAATTAAATTACATCTTAGAGGAAGACCTTTTTAAGTTTTACAATCTAAGAACCAAAAAGAAATTTAAAATCCACCTTTCTCAATGCAGAGGAATACCAAATTTAATATACACTGTAGTTGGTGTTCATTAGGCAATCTTCCAAAATAGCTGAAAATGTTTCTAAAGCCCCTAAATTCGCATCTCAATTGTAAAACAGAGACTGATTTCTTACATTTTTCCAGTTAAGATATGCCATAAAGGAAAACAAGAGAGAACCATGATACTATAAATTCTTGGGGCTGGGGATTCAGCTTAGCGGCATAAGCCTGACAAGTGTGAGATTGTGAGTTAAATCCTTGATCCAAATTAAACAAAATTATCTTTGCCATCTTGGTCACATTAAATCCACTTCACAATTGTGCAAACCCACTGCTTTGAACTTCTTCCTGGTTTTTTTTGTGTTGGTGTGCATGCGTGTGTGTGTGTGTGTGTGTGTGTGTGTGTGTGTGTGGCAACACAATCTACTGCTTTCTTCTCTCACTGCCACTCCTGAGTGTACATTTCTACCTCCTCTGCATGATTTCTTCAAGTTGAAGCACTGTAGGACGCACTGTGTGCCCTTTCCTAGTCTCATGCCACAATCTCCGCCCCCAGGTGATTTGATCATACCCCAAGACTTAGTATCACCTATACATGGGTGTAAATTTACATCTCCAACCCTTACTGTTTATTTAGCTCTACTTACATGTCCAAAAATCTTATAGCTATCTCCATCTGGATGTCCACAGGTATCTCAAGTTTCACGTAACCGTCTCAAATTTCATATAACCAAAACTCTTGATTTCTCCTCTCTACCTCCAATCCTCATTCTCACACAAATCTCATTATTCTCTCTCCGTGAATGATATTACTAACCGCCCAGTTAACTCATGCAACACTCCTAAGCATACATTGATTCTCTTGGTCCCTTATTTCCTATTTCCAATCTATTGCAAATCCCATGGGTTTTTAACTCTAAGACAGTCTAAGACCGTAATATCTCACTAGATGTTTAAGCCATCATATCTTGCCTAGACTGCTCCAACAGCTTCCTGGCTGTTCTTAGAAGTTTTGCCTTCTGTACATTAAAATCCATTCTCCTCTGTAGTAGTCGTAATTTCCTAACATGTAAATCAGATCATATCACATTGCCAATCTTCACTGGCCTTTTGATACATTAATACCTTAAATTCCTTTCCTTGGCTTAAAGGCACCAAAATAACTATCAATACAATTTCAGAGCACCTGGACCCTTCTCGAAACTGCAAATACTCATCTCCTCATCTGACTTACATAATCAGAAATGCTGAGTAAGGCCTTATAACCCATTTTTAATAATCCTCCAAGTGATTCTAATACATGGTAGACTAAGAATCACAGCTAGCTTCTGCCAACCGCTGATCTCTCCTATTACTTTTCATTTCATTACCATGTGTCGTTTTGACATTTTTTCCTTTCCTAAAACAGACTCAGTGTCCTCACATATGAGCATGTTGGCCAATTTTTTTTTGCTTTCAAGTTTTTATAACCACAGAATACTGTAGTTTCATTCAGAATCATCAACTCCTAACTCTGAGTGTTCCCTTGTGTTACAAAGTGCCCTGTCCTGGAATGCAGCTATGTGGCTGTGTGCCTGTCTTCCCAGCTACATGGGAGGCTAAGGATGGAGGATCACTTGAGCTCATCGAAACCAGCATGGGATGGGCAACAGTGAATCAGTGTCTGTCTCTCTCATTAAAAAAAAAAAAAGAAAGAAAAAACAAAAGCTGAGTAGCAGGGCAAAAAATGTAATTATTAAATATACACTGCCAAGTCTTGTGCAGACTCTTTCTTAACTTTTAATCTCCTGAGGTAATTCCAACGGTCATTTAACTGTGCTTTACAGAGGTAAAGAAATTTGTCTGGAGTAGTCCCACATAGCATGGTACAACAACAAACAAAACCCCACCAAATCCTTACCTCTCCCCATAACCTTGATGAGGTCAATCCAATTAAACGCTGCCGTGTGAAGAGAATACAGGAGTCAGATGTGTACCCATTCCTGCACCAACAGAGGCTGCTACTTCTCCAGGTGGGGTTAGGGAAGCAACCTAACTACTGGATAGCAGAAAGACCTGGGTATTTTACACATGGCCACATGCGTGACCTTAAGGAAATCATTTCATTTCTCTGGTTCTCCATTTCCTTATTTCCAAAACATTACTATTACACTAGACGATCTCAGGTCCCTTTACCTCTAACATTCAACAATTTGGGAAGTAAAAACAAGAGCTTTAGAACTGAATCAGGGCATGGGGTTGACCTAAGAGTTTTGCAATAACTTTCTTATTCAAAAGAATCCTAAGCCTCGCACCCTCATTCTCATTCCTAGGCAATTGTCCCATCCCAAAACACTGCTGGTC